ACAAAGTGCCGACCGGTGACAACTCCTATCCATGGCGTGGCTGCCGCGCAGCGCCATGGCCTTGGCTCGACGCCGTTGCTTTCATTGGCGAGCGCTTGAAGGCAGCTTACCGCCATCCTTTTCGCGACTCGCCCTCTATTTCTTTCTCTCGCGCGCTGGAGCCACCGAGAAAAGCCACCGCCGTGACATTGCTCCGCCGAGCCCGGGAACCCTCGCCATTGCCTCGCTTCTCACTCCGGCTAGCCCGCGACTCCATCATCATCATCTGGAGCTCGTCCATCTCGCCTCTGGCGGGAGAGTCAAGGTAGGCCTATTTTTCTTCTTCTCCGCAATGGAGCACCATTTCCGCCACGGCGTCGGAGTTGTGCTCGCCGTGGACAACCACCACGGAGCCCTCTCCTCCTTCCTCTCCCTTCCCTCGGTTTCCCGAGTAACCTTGATGCTCACGCATAAGCTCGATCGAACCGCCATGGCCGGGAGTTGGCGGCGTGCCTCGCTGTGGCCATTGCCGTGATCGCCATTGTCGCCCGGCGCCTCCTCCTCCGCTGTAGCTAGGGGGTCCATTTTCTACTTCCATCGGTGGCGGGACAACTGTCTTGTGCACGCTGGTGCCACCCCTTCACGGACTCTTCTTGGCGTCGTCGGCGGTGGTAGGTCAACCGACCTCCCCTGCTCTCCGGTCGGTGACCGGTGGGGCAGTTGACCAGCTGGGACCCGCTTGTACATCTCCCGAAGAGCAGTCTTGGGTGCAGATCTGGGTGCGCATAGCAGTTTAGGTTCCAACTGATTTTCGTTTATTAGAAAAAGGATTTTTCAGATTTTTGTTAAAGACTTTGGAAAATGTTTGAGTACTCAAATTGGCTCCAAATTTGTTGAAACAAATTTTGCTAGGTTCCTTATCATCAGATCCACTTGGAAAAATTATTGCATGTCATTTTTGGGATACTTTTCTATAGGCTTTTATTTAATCATGTATATTGCCGATAAATTGAAAAATGTGTAGAAAAATCTATAGGTTTCAGAAAAATATGATTTCAAGTTTGTTAATCTTCTTAGGTCATGTAATTCCTAGGAAAAATATGTTTCATGCATGTGCTGTGGAAAACTTTGGAGGTGTAGTTCAAGTGCCTTTAATGGCTGATTTTTGTTATTTTTGCTAGAGAGCAAACTTTGTATAAAACATGCATCTGATAATTTTTGTACAGTGATTATATGCTATGAAGAACCTAGGAAAAATATTAATTCTGTTGTTTGACACTTTTCGTAGTACAAAGTAATTTCATGCTCATTTTTAAGCTATAGCTTGTCATTTTTGTGTAGGATAGTTTACTTATCCAAATGCTATGAAATTTTTATGGTAGTCTGTTTAGGATAGTATTATGCTACTATAATTTTCTCAGATTTTTAGGAGCATCAAAAATATATGTTGATATTCAAACCTATTATTAATTAGGGTTTAAGCGAGTGTCGCTTTAAGTGTGATTAAGAAATTAGTAAAGCTTTGGTGTATCCTTGAAGCATTTCATAAGATAGGTTAACTTAACATATTAGTAATAGAAGAGAATGCAGTAGATGACATGTGCTTGTAGTATAGTTTCTTGGATGATGTTGACTACCTTGCATTTAAACATATCCATTGCATCCATCTCCTTCGATGCACCGTTTGCATAATCACTTACGCGTGTTGCATCATACAGGATTGCAAACTGAGAACCCAGTCGTCATTCCCGAGGAGTCCGAGGAGCAGTTCGAGCAGCAAAGAAGAGAAGTCTTAGGAAGTCGAAGGGAGGACGTTGAGGAACTTCCGGAGTGCCCCGATCACCGCCCGAGAGCTCCTTCGAGAGAGGCAAGCCCCGAGCATTTTCTCCCGGTTTGCAATGATTTAATTAAATGCTTTACTTTAATTGATGCATTACGTTCAGGAGTTGTTTGCAACCGTTCTTTGCATTATACCTTGTTTACCTTTGTTATACTATATCCTTGTTACCCCGGTATCGCGCAATGAAGTCAATGCTTAGGTTGGCTTAGACCGGTAGAAGTCGGGTGATTTCTGTCACTGCGAGCTATAGGTGGTTACTTGGATCTGCTTGGATGACTATGAAGTCATGGTATAACTAAGTGTTAAATGAAGTTGAGACCGGACGGAGACTTGCAGAGTTTTGGACTGTAGTGTTTCCGTCTATGTCGATTAAGGACCGACCGTTGTTGGGCCTCGAGTCATGTTGAACGCATGCCTTACATTTAGCTGGCCGGATAAAGTATCTTCCGACCGCGAAGCTGGGAGATTTTTCGGGCCGAGTGGATTGCCCTTGATGCAGACGCCTTGTGCGAAAGCGGTGTGGTAGGACACGGGGGTGGGATGATAAGGCCAAAGTGCAGTCGGTCGGCCCCTGGGTACATGTGGTTCCTGGCAAACTCGAGATTCCTGGAAAGTTGACTCGGTGATCAATATCTCACTTTAGCGGGTGAGTGAGGTTTGTGTAAGGAACAAATCACCAGCTGGTTAGGAATCGATTCGAATCGCCATCGCTCCTGGATAGTGAGCACTTGACTTGAGTTACTTCATCGTAGTAAATGTTATGAAACACTTGGACAGTTATAATGAATATGATAGTATGGAAGTTGCTTAATGATCATTGATTATCATTATCTGCTTAATCACATGTTTACTCTAGTATAGGTGCAGATCTAGTTGACAGGTTAATAATAATTAACTTGGCAATAATGCTTTTAGAAAGGTTCTTAAAATGCTAAAAATGCTTCTTTTTGCAAATGAGTCAGCTACCCTACTATAAAGCCCTTCATAATCCTTGGTGTCATTTATTTTCGGTTATGTCGGGTAAGTCTGGCTGAGTACATTCTCGTACTCAGGGTTTTATTCCCACTTGTTGCAGATGGGCAGATGTACTATGGCTACTGTATCAACTGCCTGTATCCTGCGATGGGTGATGCTTAGGACCATGGGCATGGTCATTCCTTACGTCTCATCTAATGCTTTTGTTGGAGATGATCATCAGCTGGCACTATATTTGAACTCCGTGTGAGTGTGTGTGGTTTTAAACAAATGACTTCCGCTACTTTTATTCGAACTTGTTTTGTAATAACTATGTTTAAACTCTGATGTATCTGTTATGCAAACTTTTATGTAATATGTGATTGGTGACCGCTAAACTTATTACGATCATGGCTGGGACACGAGTTGGTTTGAAATCATTCGTGATTTCACGGACTACCGGGTTATACGGGCTTAAGTTTGCTCAATCGTCTGCTCTGGTGGATGATTTTCTTACTTAATTTCGTATAATTGGTCGGTTCTGTTACAAAGACCACGGCGAGGACCACATCGCACAGGACGGCTGGCGAACTCCCATCGTGCCTACAGTGCTGCCACGGCCGGCATAATAGCACCATGTCACACCATACCGCGACGTGGCCACAAGACCATGACGACACCCACGCCCAGATGTGCTCCCTAAGACGGCGTAGCTTGTAAGCCAAGATAGCTAGGCCCTCCCTCAGGCTCACGATCCTTCGGGCGAGAGAACCTACTGCTTTGTATAAGCCCTAGCCTCGAACTCTATATAAGGGCAGCCATGGCACTCATCTTGGGCATCCAATTCTGATCCTCTACCATTCTCTCGTTGTCACACCATAGAAGGGCTCCTGAAGCTTCCTTTCGGGCAGCTCGTCTCTTAGCTCTAGATCTCCTACCTCTTCCGCCGTTTTTCCACCTCCCGTTGTAAAAACTTCAGAGCATTCAAGCGAGGAACACGTACGCGATCATCTCTGAGACTGGACGTATGGTTCCAGCCTGAACCGGTATAAACACTCATGTCTTTTGGATGCTACCATCGTCTTTCTAGAGCAGCGCGGCAATCGTATAAATTTACTAGTCCGGTTACAAAACACCGACAAGGGGATTACAGAGTTCCTCTCAACTTTGAAAATTTATGAGCTAGAGAGGATATTTGAAAACTTTTTATTTTTAAGGAGTTCTTTTACAAAATTGTTGGAGGGCACCTTTTCCCCTTTTTGCTAAAAAATCAAAATTGAGAGTTATTTTACAAAGCTCACATAGATGCTTAGTTCTAGTACATCCAAACATGATGGTTAATAGGTGGGCTAATTCTAACCAAGTTTTCAACTAGTTGTTAGCCAACTTACTAACCAATCATAGCTAATTTGGATTAATTTTTAGCCTCAACTTGTAACCTCAACTTGTAACTAGCCATGGGTCGTCAAACAAAAAAAAACATATGAAGCTACGGACAATAACACAGTTTTTTCCCAATAGAAGAAAAGAGACATGTCGAAATCCTCTATAACATCAACAGTATTTTGCAATTACCATAGCAAATGCTCGACCCAGTTTGCTTATATACCAGGTGTACTCCCTCCATCCCAAATTGTAAGTCATTCCAAGAATCTTGAGAGTCAAAGTTTTTCAAGTTTGACTAAATTTATATAACAAAATAATAATATTTATCATACCAAGTAAGTATCATTAGATTCTTCATTAGTTATATTTTCATATTATACCTATTTGATGTCATCAATCTTTGTATTTCTCTCTATAATTTTAATCAAACTTGAAAAAGTTTAACTCTCCAAGATTCTTAAAATGACTTACAATTTAGAACGGAGGGAGTACATGTTATCTTACGGACTTTACATAACATGGGGAAAAAAAGGGTGACCGGAGAGGGATTTGGAAATGACACGAATGCTCCAGGTTAGGTGATTTAGCAAGTTCTCCCTACCCAATTCATTTCCACCAATTGCCTAAGGCTAAGAGATAGAGCACACCATCTCTCGATTCCTTCTCGACGTTGTCCGTAGACTACTCGCTCCACGAAGTCTAAGCAAATATTTACAGAGCCAAACTCATACACTGGCATGCCATTGTAGAACCTGCCGACTCTAGGCATAAACAACAAACCTTTCTCCATAGCGAATGCCTGGATACACTCCTTGAAGCTCAGATCTGGCTCGGTTGCTCCTCATACTGCATGGCAACAAGGGAACTGTGATGCTTTCTCAGCTGCATCAACTTGAAGTTTCTCTGTACCACTACCTCTCAAGTATGCCATATTCTCCCCAGTTCCAGGCTGCACAACCTCAAGTCCTTCCGCGGCTCGGTCCATCATCTCCAGGCCAAGTGTAAACAGCATCCGTATGCGCGCATCAGCAAGCAATTCAGGTGGGAAACTGTCCTTCCAGCACTTATACCAATTAACGATCTCGACGAAATCAGGATTCGGGGAACACAGCCAGTGGTATAGGACCTGATGCCACTTGCTGAAGAAATCAACTTCCAGAAAACGGACCATGCAGCGCACCGGGATCGTAGAAGCCCAAAGCATCACGCATCTGAACTGATCGAGCTTCTGGTCCGCCGGGTTGATCTGGAACTCTTGCAGTGCCATCCTCAGTTTCGGGACGATATAACGCGCAACCAGGTCTTCCCGGACTGCAGAATCGAACACATTCTTCCATGGAGACAACAGAGCGTGAGCTGATGTGTCGTGCGCTTGCCATACGCGGAGGAAGCTGCTCAGCTTGTACCGGATGGCATGGCACAGGGTCTCTATGCTGCTTTGCTCTAGCATCGGCAACCATGGGTGCACCCAGACATGGATCGGCACCTTCTCCCCGCGTGGATCCCATGAATCCACGGCGGCCGAGAGCTTTGGCATGACCACATGCTCCAGTATCAACTGAAGCGCAACGGGGGGCAGCACCTGCTCCCATGTCTTGAGAAAGTCGAGCATTGGTTTCGGAACCCTTGCTTCCCACGAATTGGTTCCTGACATTCGCACGGGTGGCACGATGACCTCGCACACGAGCTGCGCGTACGGCCATTGAAGCGGCGCCGTGCGAGAAGTCATATGGCAGCTGGTCTCCCTCCAGCAGATCCTTCCACGATGACATGAGCTCCAAGCCGACCGACGGATCCACGAGCGGCCGCCAGCCCTGGAAGAACCGGATCAGCAGCTTATGCGCGAACTGGCAGGCGACCCATGCCATGCCGCACATCTTGAACTCCTCCGCGAAGCGCGCCTTCAGGCCCCTGAACGCCAGAAGCAGTCCTTCCAGGGTGAGGACGCCGGCTGAATCGTCCATCCGGACCTGCTCTAGCGCCCCTGCGATCGTCTCCATGACCTGCAGCTGCCGTTTCTGCGCCGCCTCCTGCTTCGACAGCTTTATCTCCTCCCGCACCAAGCTGGCCGCCTTCTCGTGCTCCCGCCGCAGCTGGCCGTCCAGTCTCACGACGTCAGCCTCCGTGTCGTCAACGAGTAGCCGCACGTTGTGCTGTAGCTCCGGCATCGGAGCGTCGTCAGCCTGCATCTCCTGCCCCTGCTCGTCGTTGAGCCCCCTCAGGTCCGTCAGCACGCGCTCCTGTCGCCCTCGCCTGTCGATCACCTTCTGGACGACGGTGGGGTGCCCCTCGGCCTCCTCCTCCAGCACCTGCTCGGCAAGCATTGCCGGCAACGCATTCTTCGTCAAGACGGGAGCTTTCCTAGCCCTCGCCTTCTTCGACCACCGTGGCGGCCACTCCTTGGTTGAAGCTGAAGCCGGGGGCGGCAGGTTCTCCTTGGCCGACTGGGTCACGGGTTCCTCGCCGTAGCCAAGGCCGGCGTTCTTGTGCCGCTCGGTGACCGCCACCGGTTCAGTAATCCCCTGCCCGTCCTTGCCGAGGCCCATGCCGTCAACGTACCTCATGATGCGCGTCATCTCGACAACCTTGGCGTTGGACCGCACGCTCCCCGGGGCCGCCGGCGGCGGCTTCACCGACGCCTGGGTGCGGCGCGCGGCTGCGGCGCGCTCCCGCTCCTTTTTCTCCCGACTTGCGCCGGCGCCCTGCCTGATCTTCCCGAACTTCGTGGGGAGCGGCGGCTCGATGCCCACCTCCTCCGCCCCCGCCTTCGCCTCATCCTCTTCGGCGGTGGCGCTCACAGGGCCAGGCCCTGGATTCCGGGATGGCATGACGGAGCCGGAGGAGACGAACTGGACCGGCTTGGAGAGATCGGGCTCGGCGGAGGCGTCCCTGCGGCGCTTGCGGCGGCGGGACCCATTGTCATCGCCTGAGTCGTAATCGGTGTCGCACTCGGCCAAAATCCTGTACAGGGCGTCGTGGCGGGTCCGGCGCGCTCGCGCGCGGCCGTCCTCGAAGCCGCCGTCCATACCGCCTCTCCCCGGTAGCTCTCGGCTAGGTCGGCCTCAGCTCCGATTGGGAGGAAGAATCGCGACAGGATCGAAGAGCATCGCTACGTCGGTTCGCAGTAAAAATATTTGAGAGTCCTGAATCCTGGAAGGATCGGGAAGTTTGCTACACGCGTGCAGGGACCAATTCAATCGAAACGAGTTTTCCCTTGAGCCCGAGTCGGTTGCTAGAACCAGATCCCGTTCGTTCGGTCATCCTTCCGGGAGAGTCGGTTCATCGCGCGTTGGACCTTCTTCTTTTCTTGTCTCTTCAAAATCTATCTGTTGCTTCAGAAATTTATCTCAGAACGAATTATCCATCGCATCTTTTGCTTTTGGTGACGTCGAATGTATAGTGCACGTGAACATGTTGGGTACATATTATGTGTTAAGTGCAGGAACGGCCATCTTGAGGAACAGTAGCAGCTTCCAACCCAACCAATGGAAGGTACAGCGTCAAGTTCTCCATGTACAGAGCTGCTGATGGCTCAGCTACTGATCATACTAGCAGATCAAACGCATGTACTCCCCCGTTCCAAATTATAATTCATTTGACTTTTTTGATCCTGAGTTTAACCGCTCGTCTTATTTAAAATATTTGTACAAACATAGTTAAATTTAAGTTATTTTTTAAGAACTCTAGTTAATAAAGCAAGCCACAACAAAAAAAAAAGTATATATTTAGTATAAATTTTTAAATAAGACGAGTGATCAAACTTGAAGTAAAAAAAAAAAAGACAAACAAACTATAATTTGGAACGGATTTACTAACATATTTTATTGGCCGAAGGGATCACATCGGAGGATCCTGGAAGGCCCACCCGCGGGTAATCATGCCTGCTAAATCAAGAAAAAAAACGTGTTCAACGAATCTCTTTTTACGACGCTGACTAGTTACTATTAGTTTACGCAGATCCTTCCGTCGTCTGGTAGCGAGCCAGAAACTAGACAGAGCATGAGAACCATAGTGCATAGTCACACGACCACCACGGCCGCAATCCAGGCGATGGGGTAAAAGAGAAGCAAATGAAGACGCCATGCGGCCATGCCATGTGAATAGCGAGCGAGCCCGTCTCCATGGCCAGGCGATGAGTCTTGATGGAGGTGCCATCGACTCACCAGCCATGAAAAACTTTTTTCTGAGTCGGTTTGTTGCTTGCTTGCTCGCTCGCTCACCTGACCTCACTTCACCTCGCCTGTCTGGTAAATCGATGCCGTGCGTTGTAAGAGTTACCCGACGCAATGCATGCGTTCACACGCCTCCGCGGCGCGTCGGTCCAAGCAAGCATCAAGGACGCCAAGAAAAGGAGGGGCTTGCGGCGCACGCGTCCGGCGTATGTACGTACTGCGTAACAACGTCCGTCCGTCCGTCCTCGCACCGTTCGCTCGGTAGTTTTCGCCTTATTTCATAAAGTACTCTCGGCTGATTTGGTGTGAGAAAAATTATTATTTATTAACTGAAAACAAACCAAACAAGCTTAAATAAAACTCAAACGAACAGGACGCTCGTTTTTCTTAATCTAGCCCCAGGGGATACGATGCACCTTGGTTTTTTTAAAAAAAGGTTTTTAAAAAGATATGATGCACCTTGCTTAGGGGGTGTTTAGATTCCAAAAAATTTTGCGCAGTACCTGTCACATCGAATCTTGCGGTACATGCATGGAGTACTAAATGTAGACGAAAAAAAAAACTAATTGTACAGTTGAGTGAGAAATCGTGAGATGAAACTTTTGAATCTAATTAGTCCATAATTAGACACTAATTACCAAATACAAACGAAATGCTACAGTGAGCCAAAATCCAAAAATTTTTGGATCTAAACGCCCCCTTAATCCACTGGTGAACAAGGCGCAGAAGAAACTAATCAACGACGACGACTGATAGCTTGTTTTTTGCCCTGATTGGTTTCTTTAGTACAGTATCAGGCAAAGAAACAAGACGCTGCGGCGTGCACGCAGCCTGTTTAGTTGCCTTCATTTTGCAAAAAATTTCAAGATTTCTCGTCATATCGAATCTTTGACGCATGCATGAAGCATTAAATATAAAAAAAAAATAAAACTAATTACACAGTTTAGACGAAATTCACGAGACGAATCTTTTAAGCCTAATTAAACTATAATTGGACACTAATTATCAAATAACAACGAAAGTGCTACAGTACCATTTCGTCAAAAAAATTCGCCAACTAAACACTACCTAGTTTAATGGGGCACGGTGATCTTGAGAATGAAGGGTCGTACGTATGCGAGGGTTCGATGGATCCGCGACAGCGACGGGGCAACGTAAAGATCAGAGGCGGGCGCGGGCAGCTTCGGCGTAGCATGATTGTGCGGCAAGGGAGTCCGTTGTGGCAGAGGGAGCACTCAGACGGAACCCAACGGAAGGGAGAATAGTGTGGGAGGCTTTACCCAAGTGTAAAGCAAGCCAAAGGCAAGCGGCTGCGGGTTACTTCACCGGCGGGTTGCAGCATTGCTCATATACACAGCACCACTGCACTGACCATGACCAGTGACCGCACCACACCACCTGCCCGGCTGCCCCCGCCCCTCCTCTGCAGCAGCAGCAGCAGCAGCAGCTCTTGTTCTTCACGTGCTCGTCTTCACGAGTCACGAACAACCCACACGGTTTGGCTCTGCTGCTATAGATATGAGATGCAGGAGGCGGCCAAGGCTCGGCATGGGGTGGCTCCGGGCCGTGCTCTCCCCGCTCAGGAAGCTCTGGTGCCGCGTCAACGCGGTGCAGCAGCGCAAGAGTACGGTGCCCTGCCCATCACACGCTCTGCTCTGCTCTGCTCTGTTCTGCTCCTCCGGTTCTCTGGATTCTGAATGGAGAAATCCTTCTTCCTTGGTGCTCTGTGATGTGCAGAGAGAGGGATCTACATCCTGTACGACGACGTCAAGTCGTGCCAATGCGAGGACGTGCACGTGCTGTGGTCGATCCTCGTGGAGTCCCACGGCCTGCCGCCACCGACCCCGATGCCGTCGCCGCCGGTGCTGAGCCTGAAGCGATGAGGGGGGCGGCGGGTGCTTCGCCACTGCACTGCACCCCTGAATAAGCGAAAGGTCGATGGATATACCTCGACATGGCTGGCTATGGGAGGTGAATTGAAGTAGTAGTGATTCTGAATTCTGATGTACATAGGGATCAACCGGTGTGCTGCTCTGCTGTCGGCCTGGATTGGCGCCTCTGTTGGAGGCTGCCGAGACGAGGAGTGGCCTGCGGCTGCTGCGCGTGTCCCTTGATGAGTGTGGTGATGAGCTTCTTGGAGTTGGAGCGCACCCCTCGTTCGCTTGACTTCTACTAGTTTACTGCATCTGGATGCGGTCCTTCATCCCATCTCTATTGGAAGGGAGTAGCAAGAAGAAAAGTGAATGGTCAATGATTTTCAGAATCTGGTATCTACCTTTTTCAGTTTTCGCTTATGTCCTTATTCGCTTCTCTTATAATCCATACTTTTCAGCTGATTTTTTTAGTCGGAACAGTATTTCACTTTGCACTCCCTAAATGGTGCAGTGCTTCTGCCTGCAAGTCTTCAACCTTATCGTACGGACTACGAAACTACGGAGTAGTTCAGGAAGAAATGCTTGTTCAAATAACCACCATTATTTGCTTGGTCTCTTTTTTCCTTTTGACGAGTGCAAGTACACTTTAAACGCTACAATAGTCGGCACACCGAAAAAGCCGATGCACGCTTGAATCGTTGAACGCCCGAGCAATCCGTCGTCGAGAGAAAGGAGATCCGACGTCTGCCATCGCGCGTAGTCGCACCTAGCACAGCTGCAACCACGCCTGGCGCAGCATCAGTCGAGCTCGGCATGTCGCCCTAAGTACACGGCCAGGTGCCCGAGGTACGCTCCCGGACAGGTCGTCGTGGCCGGCCTTCTGTGGCACCAGATGAGCCGAAGCTGGAAGGAGGCACCGTGTGCTGCCGCTTACAGTCCTGCGCGAGGTGTCGGAACCCCCTGCATCTTAGGCAGTGTGGAGGCAGCTTGTAGGTTGCCACCTTGTGCGCGATGGAGAGACAGATGAAGCACTTCCCGTGTAGGTCCGTCGGATAGCGGATAGGGGGCCGCTAGTTCGCCGATGCAGTTTGGGTGGGCGTGCCCCGCCGGTGCCGCATGACGACCCCTGCGACAGGACCTCATGCCAGGCGTCAGCGTCCGGAGCAGAGATGCGCTGGCGGGCGCTGCAATGCGACCCCCATCGACATTGGGGACGGAGACCCGTCCACGTCCACGGCGACCAAGGCGTTAGCGAGCAGGGACGCGGCCATCCACTGGCCGACGAGGCAGGGCGCACAACAGCTGTGGGCGCGGCCGACTGCGTTTCCTCGGCCTCCAACCAAGTCTCTTCCGATCAGGAGTAGGGACCAAAGCAGCGACGGGGCAAACATGGGCGCTTGCGATGGGCGCGGCGACCGCCTTCGCCGGGCGACAAGCGTCGTCCAGGTAGGTCTAGGGTGGTTGTCGTCAGACTCGTCAGCATCGTCGTACGCCCACTGGCGGCTTTTGGTGTGCCCACCCAAGACTGGGTAGAAGGGAGCCACGTCCGGTGAAAGGAAGGAGCTAGGGGTGACTGGCGGTGACGTGGTGGTTGGCTGATGGGACGGCGTCTCCAGAGGTGGCTGCACCTTCCCAGCATCCGTCACCTCTGACGGGTCGCCGTCCGGCGTAGGCGGCGGTGTGGAGGGGCCGGAATGGACCCCCACGCACGGTCCCGTGGTGGCCACGGGCTCTAGTGATGGCTGCGGGGCCACACCGGTTCCGATGCCGCTGCTGCTGGAGGTTGTCGCGGAGATGGTGGTGCCCGGCGCCCGTGGAGGCACACCAGCACCAGAACCCGCAGGGACGGCCTCGACGCTGCATCTGGTGGCGGCGGCGGCCGCAGTGGCGGCGCCCGGCGTTGGCGCCGGTGGGGGCGGCCCTCCAGTGCGCGGATCCTGCAGTGCTACTATGGGCGGTGGCGACAGCGTCGGCAGCTCTCGGCGACGACGGTGGCACGGGCAGGTAGGGAGCCCGCGATGGCGCACCTGCGCCAGATCCCACGCGCTGTGGGGATGCCGGGGTTTGGGAGGGAGGGGGAGGGGTGGTGGGGGCGGGGGGGAGGGGCAGCGCCACCAGCGGCGGCGAGGCCGGGGTCGGCTGGGTCAGGCTCCTAGGGTTTGCTCATAGTTGTAGGAGCTCGAGCCATCTTTCTCCTCATATATATAGGCCAAAAAAATTGAGGATCGGATATTGTCACTTGCCTGTAGATGATAGAAAAATCGACCACCTTTCGTAGCTTACCACCAACGTGAAAGCTACTACGAACAAACAGGTAAATCCGTCAATGCAATCCCACAAGTAACAGGTCGCGCCGGCGCAGCAGTCGGCACGAGAGGCCGGTACTGCGCAATTGCGCCCATATGACTAGCGCGCGCTCCGCCAACGCAACGACAGGCCCAACTAGAGGTGCGCCAACCCCTCACAAGTTGCACCTCAATACTATACCAGTGTACCTCATGATTATTGGCCACCATGTCGGCCTTCGCTACCCCCTCTCCGTCTCCTATGTGCCATTCTAGGGAATCACGTCACTCTCTGTCACGTTAGAACTAGTTTGGTATGTCATTTTCATGAAACAGATGTCCAAAGTACCCCTGTCGACCAATGCAAATGGTCACCAAGGTGAGGCACTACAACTCCACTCATCCAGCTGACGTGACTCGACCAGGATCGGATGTGCCGCAACCCTCTAGATGACGCACACGTGGCAAGGCACACGCAAGCTTGGAGCTTAGAGGCCGAGAGGCGAGAGCTCTGGGCGCTGGGACGTCGTCGAAGCCAACCGTGCCCGCGCCGTCGACTTGGCCACTGTCGCCAAGCATCGCCATGCATGATGCATCCTGGTCTGACTGGTGTCCTCCACGAGTTCCTGCACACTAGTCTCTTCCCACATAGGGATGGCAAAAGCAGGGAAGGGGAAAAGGCACTCCTAATTCGGACCCTAATACTGGTTGAGGTGAGATGGGGCGGAGGATGATGGTGACTTGAGTGTTGCCCTAGCCTAGGCAGCCCTCTCGAAATACCCAATACATGGTACATGATCGGAACCCGCAGGAGTTGATACACACAGCAGGAGAGAGCAATCGAACGCTAGCCCGTGGTACTAGTTGCCTATACATCAAAAAATGGCATGCACTTCATGTGCTGCTGCTCTAAACCCTCCCCAAACGAGAAAGTTAAATGTGCCCTTAAGGGCACGGGCCCCTATGCACTGCGCCCCCATCTCCAATCCCCACCTCCCTCCTTCCCTTTTGTTCCCTCTACAAAAGCTGCTACAGCCCTTGCACCACGTCGAGCGAGGGCCCGAGCGAGCCTATTCAGTAGCCACCATAAGTCAGTCGAGCAACCTGGGTACGCATGAGCCAAGCTGCTGCTCACCAGTGAGCTGTGAACGCGATGGAGCGCCGCCACGCCTCGCAACCGCCTTCAGCCACGCCTCGCGGCCGCTGCGTACTACATGGGCAAGGTAGCGGGCCGTGCGCCGAACCGTGCTGAAGATCCCTTCGACAGTGACGCCGTGGGTGGCGGCGGCAACAACGCAAGCGACGCTGCTTCCCCCATCTCCATCGATGTGGGCAGCGACGACGACTCCATCTCCATCAACGTGGGCGGTGACGACGATGGCACCTCTTCCCAAACAGGAAAGTTAAATGTGCCCTTAAGGGCATGTGCCCCTACGCACTGCGCCCCCTCTCCAATCTCCACCTCCCTCCCCTCCTTGCCTTTTGTTCCCTGTACAAGATGCTGCTCCCCCATCTCCATCGACGTGGGCGGCGGCGACAACTTCGTCTCCATCAACGTGGGCGGTGACGACGATGGCAGCACCAACAAAGGCAGCGACGGTGACGGCGGTGGTGAGGTGGGTTTCTGGGGTTTTCTAGTCTGGCTAGTCGTCCGTCTCTTTCCGTTTCCTAAATCTCATCCAATCTATTCCCAATTCTATGCGATTTTGTCGTCCGGACGTCTTTTTCTCTTGGACCAATTGATTGATTAGGCTGCACTGCAGGAGTTTTCTGGGCTAGAGTTTCTGGAGGTTTCTGGGGCTAGGGTTTTCATCATCTGCTTTTTCAACTTTTCTCATTTGGTCCGTCCGGTCGTTAATGTCGGCTCCTGTGAATCTCTTATTAGGGCTCTACACTGCAGGAGTTGGAGTGGACTATGCCGCACCTCTACGATTTCCCGCTCCTGCTATAGCCCGTCAGAGTCTGCGGCACCTGCAACACCTTCCTCCGTGTGCTACTGCTCACCGCCACCATCGTCACAGATGTGTTAGCGGCCAGGTGTGTTTGGTTTCCCCTGCTAATTTTTAGTACCTATCACATCAGATGTTTGAACATTAATTTGGAGTGTTAAATATAGACTAATTACGAAACTAAAGCACAGATTGAAACTAATTTATGAGACGAATCTATTAAGCCTAATTAGTCTATGATTTGATAATGTGGTGCTACAGTAAACATATGTTAAAGATGTATTAATTAGGCTTAATAAATTCGTCTAGCGGATTACTGACGACTTTTGTAATTTATTTTATTATTACTATCCGTATATTCGATATGATATTCGATGTCACTACTCTTAAATTTTAGTCCCGGAGTGCTCCACCTTACTATCCGTATATTCAATATGACATCCGATGTGACTGCTCCTCTTGAACTTTAGTACCGGAGGCCGATCAACTTGCCGGCCAAGATCCGTTTGGATATGATGCTCATCATCCTCTGGCAAGAAATATTAGATAACATAATAATGTGTGTATGTGTACGAGACGCATGCAGCTTGCGGGTAACCTGGCTGTCCGGCCCGCATTGAAAGATGCATGCGACACGGCCTGACATCTCGTAGGCTCAGCCCACACACAAGGCAAGCAGGTTGCAAAGCAGGTAAGCGGCATACAGATCGTAGTCCTCATCTAGTCAAAGACGATGGCTTGGCAACTGAAGGCCAGCGGCCGTCGTGTTGGTTGC